CCCGGTGGCTGCAGCCACCAAATGGTGTATAAAATCCCCCGCTGTCAGGGCCATATGACCTACAGACCTGCCAGCAAAGGGGTTTAAAGCTCTTTTGGCCAAGCTTATCTTGTGGGTCACAGGAGAACATTTACTTTAGTCTTCCTGTGACCAAAGTCAGCTGATAGCATTTTACTGCCTGACAATAGCTGACAGGGCAGAGCCACACCACACTGGGGAAGAAATGCCTGATTGACAGCTGGCTCTGCCTTTAAGCGTGCTGCTAAAGGCCAGAGCAAGCCACAGTCGACCCCTCCTCAGCCTGGTGCTCCAGCGAGCACTGAAGGAAAAAAAGAGTAGAGAGCAGAGACTGACAGTCAGACAGAACTGAACAATCAGCAGTAATGCGATTTCACTTGAATTCTTGATCTCAAGAACAGACATGGGAAAGCTAAAGAATCGCACCGAAGCGGCAGCATGGAGGAGAGTATGTATGTTTGTTGTTTTTTTTGAAAACCCATACTTCTTTAAGGCTAGTTCACAATGATGCGACTCTGTGAGCCACGTTTTAGACATAGCAGCCCACTCCTGCTAAAACACAGGAAATAGGTCCAAGGACCATTTCTGGAATCGCAGCCCGCACGGGAATTGCAAGTGCTGCGTGATATTTAGATTAATGGTTTTTTCTGTGCGAGAGGTTGTGGGTGCGGGAACAGATGCAGACCCACATCAGGAATCACCCGCACAGATGTGAACCTAGCCTAAAACAAATATAAGTAAATTTGTGAACAAATAAATGTCAATTAAAGATCAGGATGGGACTCACATTTAAAAAAGGATGCCATCCTAATGTCACAAACAAGTTACATACACATGTTCTTAATGCAGGAATATACACTCACCAGCCACACTTTATTAGATACACCTTGCTAGTACCAGGTTGGACTCACTTTTGCTTTCAGAACTGCCTTAAAGTGGAGTTTCACCGAAAAGTGGAAGTTCCGCTTATCTGCCTCCTGCCCCTCTCTGCTGCCACATTTGGCACCTTTTGGGGGTGAGGGTAGCAGGTGCTGAGCCAGAAGTTCATCTCCTCCCGTTCCCCCCACAGCACTCAGCACACAGTACATTTCACAGGTCCCAGAGGACTGCGGCCAATTCACAAGCGTAGCGCGATTTGCACATGCACAGTAGGAAACCGGCTGTCAAGCCGCAAGGCTCACTGCCAGTTTCCCTTAGTCAAGATGGCGGCGCCAGTACCCGACAGCCGAATGAAGAATAGGCTTGGGGTGAGGTCTCTGCTGGATCCCAGGGCAGGTAAGTGCCCTAATATTCAAAGTCAGCAGCTACAGTATTTGCAGCTGACAATTTTTGGGAGGGGGGGGCGGAACTCCTCCAATTCTTTGTGGCATAGATTCAAGGTGTTAGAAACATTCCTCAGAGATTTTGGCCCACATTGACATGATAGTATCATACAGTTGCTGCAGATCTGTCGGCCGCACATCCAAGATGCAAATTTTCCATTCCACCACATACAAAAGGTGCTCTACTGGATTGAGATCTGGTAACTGTGGAGAACATTGGAGTACAGTGAACTCATGGTCACGTTCAAGAAACGAGTTTGAGATGATTTGAGCTTTGTGACATGGTGAATTATCCTGCTGGAAGTAGCCATCAGAAGATGGGTACACTGCAGTCATAAAGGGATGGGCATGGTCAGCAACAATACTCAGGCAGGTCGTGGCTTTTAAACAATGCTCTATTGATACTAAGGGGCCCAAAGTGTGGCAAGAAAATATCCCCCACACCATTACACCACCACCAGCAGCCTGAACCGTTGACACAAGGCAGGATGGATCCATGCTTTCATGTTTACGCCAAATTCTGACCCTACCACCTGAATGTCCCAGCTAAAAATCAAGACTCAGCAGATCAGACAACGTTTTTCCAATCTTCAATTGTCCAATTTTGGTGAGCCTGTGCGAATTGTAGCCTCTGTTTCCTGTTCTTAGATGACAGGAGTGGCACCCGATGTGGTCTTCTGCTGCTGTAGCTCACCTGCTTCAAGGTTCGACGTGTTATGCATTCAGAGATGGTATTCAGCATACCTTGATTGTAATGAGTGGATATTTTAGTTACGGTTGTCTTTTTATCATCTCAAACCAGTCTGCCCATTCTCCTTGGACTTCAAGAAGGCATTTTCGTCCACACAACTGCTGCTCACTGGATATTTTCTCTTTTTCGGATCATTCTCTGTAAACCCTAGAGATGGTTGTGTGTGAAAATTCCAGAAGATGAGCAGTTTTGTTAAAAACTCAGACCAGGATGTCTGGCGCCAACAACCATGCCACATTCAAAGTCCTTAAATCCCCTTTCTTCCACATTCTGATGCTCAATTTGAACTTCAGCAAGTAGTCTTCACATCTAGATACCTGAAAGCATTGAGTTGCTGCCATGTGATTGGCTGATTAGAAATTTGTGTTACCAATCAATTGAACAGGTGTACTTAATAAAGTGGCTGGCGAGTGTATATTATGCTAATAAGCGTCCATTCAGGCAAATATTCATATATACACAGTAGTTAATTGCAAATACAAAATTGGTTAAGACTAACATGGTCCAGAATTTGATCAATTTTCAGCAGCTGATATAATCACTTTCGGAGTATGCAGCTTCTTTATGTTTTCAATTCTTGCTAATTTTCCAATTAATGCTGTGCCATGACCGCTGCCTCAGGTTTCCTGTTTTAAGGTGGCTATTTTCTCTTGCAGCATGCATTGGACTACATGTTTGTTCTGGAGTTTAGATAAACTTTATAGAGTGGGTGGTGGGGGTCACCCAGTGATATTACCCAGTGACCCCGTCCCTTTGTTTACTTTAGCGACTGGGCGAATGACAAATCCTTCTCAGAGCTATAAAGTGAAGAAAAAGAAAAGCCAGCAATTGCATTTTTAAACCAGCAATGGCATTTAGCGGCGCCGAGGGAGCCTATCTGTATACACTGCTCCTCTCCTGGCCCCTTCTTGCACACACTGCCCCCCCCCCCTAAAAAAAGAGGACCTATCACTTATATGTCATCACATAGGAGACTAATGGTCCCCTATGTGATAGCAATGAAATAAGTAAAAAAAAAAAAAAAACAAAAAAAAAAACAAAAAGTGAAAAAGAAAATTGAACCTCCTTACCCCCACATATGCAAACATTTCAGTTTTCAGCACCAGAATTCTCATTGCGGTGTACCACTAGGCGCAGCTTACACTTTCATTTGATTAAATCAGCGATGCAATAACAAAACAAATAATAGTTATATTTAAAGCAGAACTCCGGGCAAAAATTATTTGTATGTCCTTATTGTGCGGATTTCCTACCTTCACTGAATATGTCATCCATCTTCTGGTTCACTCAGTAGTTGCTCTGAAATACCCTAATTATTTCCAAATCAAACCTTTAATTCTCTTTGGTTTCCGGTTTGCCTCCTATTCCCCCAGCCTCTAGTCTAGGCACATCCCTTCTGTAGTTCTTTCTTCAGGAAACAGTGATGTAATTCAGCTCCACAGTCAGTGGTGGGTGCACTGAGACTCTCAGACACGTTCAACATGTACAGGCCTAGTGTACCTGCCCACATTCACTACAATTCTCTGTGGTTGATGGGAATTGTAGTTTCATTTTACTGCAGAGAGGTGAGGATTTGATGTAATCTCAGCTGTTACACCTCCTCTTTGGCAGAGAAGATGCTGTTATCTTTTGAATTACAGAGATGAGGTCATGAAAATTCAATTAGACTTTTCTCCTAAATGGTAAAGATTTTCAAAATATTAACGGTTTAGTGTTTTTTCTAGGGGGGCGTACTAGTGGGCGATATTTTTTTGCCCATCCCAGAGTTCTTCTTTAATAATCCAATAGAAGCTTACTTGAATGTGAGTGCTGCCTGCCTGCTAGCCATCTCTTTCAACAGTGCCTTGATTCCCTGCATGCTTTGCAGCTTCTTCGTTGCTGTTTGAATTTCTAAGGACTACATAATCCATGGTACCTTGCTCCCTGCAAGCAGTGATACTGAAACTCCTCCTCTCATTACCTCTGTAGTTCAGAAGGCAGGCTCTTTGAAATGTGTGACACAGCAGTACTTACTCACAGGGGTATGCCGTTCCATCAGAGCGCATGCGCCGATGACGACGTCGTCAGCTGCAGGGACACTAAATATCTCCTAAACAGTTCACATTTAGAAGATATTCCTCGTACCTACAGGTAAGCTTTATTATAGGCTCACTTGCAGATACAAGTGTCCAGTGGAAGTTTACTTCCACTTTAAGTAATCGTTTCTAAAAACTGGAGCACGTATACTGGACCTACTACAGTATTCCAAAAAATCTGGAGTATTCTTTATTATAGGAATACACAAACAAGCAAAAAACGGAGACATGCGTTTCTATATTCCTCATTTTCTACTTTTTCAATATCACCTGCCACTCTCTAAGAAGAGAAAAGGGATGCAAATCTTTAAACAATGAATAAACCGTAAAATGCAACAGGCGTTGTGAGTTAAAAGTTTTACCAGAACAATGAATGCATTATACAGTGTATTTTTCCTTTTGCTTTATGTAAATACGATATCCATTGAGATGAGAGATAAAAACTTTTGGAAAGGATTTCAGCTTTCACTTAAATGTGTAAAATTGCTTCCTTTTCAGAGAGAGAAAATAATGGCAGGAACAGCTCTGTTATTTATTGCTCGTCTAAATGACTCCATGTTTTTTTTAACCACTTCCCATCCGGCCCATGTACATAAATGGCCGGACGGGAGCAGTGCAGGACAGGGTGGCTGTTTATAAACGCCCTCTCGCTTCCCTTCCTGTGCACGCTCCCTAGGAGAACACCAATCGCTTTACGGGACCTCTGTGTGAGGTCCCGATCATGTGATCACTGATTGGCCAATCAGTGATCACATGAATAGTAGTAAGCAAGGTGTTACTTCTGACATCATTGTTTACTACTAATGAAATCTGTGAATGATCACAGAGGTCACATGGTACAAGGCTATTCACAACAGCCTTGTACCATGTGACAAGCTGTGACCAATCACAGCTCTCACAGTATTTCTCAATGGCTGCAAGAAGGCAGCCAGAGAGCAAGAGAAATGATTGCTTTTACAGCCTTTATGGGTGTAAAAGCAATCAATGTAAAAAAAAAAAAATCTTCATTACCCCAAGTAGTACAGTGTCACTATGATGACACTGTACTGCTAGGGTGACAGTAAGTTAAAACAAAAAAAATTATAAATAAAAAAATAAAAAAAGTAAAAAAATAATTTTTGGTTATAAACTAATTAGGGTTATTTTTACAAAAAAATATAGTGGGATACATTTTGGCCAAGATTTATGAAGAAAGATTATATACAGTCAGGTCCATAAATATTGGGACATTGACACGATTCTAACATTTTTGGCTCTATACACCACCACAATGGATTTTAAATGAAACGAACAAGACGTGTGTTAACTGCAGACTGTCAGCTTTAGTTTGAGGGTATTTACATCCAAATCAGGTGAACGGTGTAGGAATTACAACAGTTTGCATATGTGCCTCCCACTTGTTAAGGGACCAAAAGTAATTGGACAATTGGCTTCTCAACTTTTACATGGCCAGGTGTGTGTTTTTCCCTCATTATCCCAATTACAATAAGCAGATAAAAGGTCCAGAGTTCATTTCAAGTGTGCTATTTGCATTTGGAATCTGTTGCTGTCAACTCTCAAGATGAGATCCAAAGAGCTGTCACTATCAGTGAAGCAAGCCATCATTAGGCTGAAAAAAACAAAACAAACCCATCAGAGAGATAGCAAAAACATTAGGCGTGGCCAGAACAACTGTTTGGAACATTCTTAAAAAGAAGGAACGCACCGGTGAGCTCAGCAACACCAAAAGACCCGGAAGACCACGGAGAACAATTGTGGTGGATGACCGAAGAATTCTTTCCCTGGTGAAGAAAACACCCTTCACAACAGTTGGCCAGATCAAGAACACTCTCCAGGAGGTAGGTGTATGTGTGTCAAAGTCACCAATCAAGAGAAGACTTCACCAGAGTGCATACAGAGGGTTCACCACAAGATGGAAACCATTGGTGAGCCTCAAAAACAGGAAGGCCAGATTAGAGTTTGCCAAACGACATCTAAAAAAGCCTTCACAGTTCTGGAACAACATCCTATGGACAGATGAGACCGAGATCAACTTGTACCAGAGTGATGGGAAGAGAAGAGTATGAAGAAGGAAAGGAACTGCTCATGATCCTAAGCATACCACCTCATCAGTGAAGCATGGTGGTGGTAGTGTCATGGCGTGGGCATGTATGGCTGCCAATGGAACTGCTTCTCTTGTATTTATTGATGATGTGACTGCTGACAAAAGCAGCCGGATGAATTCTGAAGTGTTTCGGGAATATTATCTGCTCATATTCAGCCAAATGCTTCAGAACTCATTGGATGCCGCTTCACAGTGCAGATGGACAATGACCCAAAGCATACTGCAAAAGCAACCAAAGAGTGTTTTAAGGGAAAGAAGTGGAATGTTATGCAATGGCCAAGTCAATCACCTGACCTGAATCCGATTGAACATGCATTTCACTTGCTGAAGACAAAACTGAAGGGAAAATGCCCCAAGAACAAGCAGGAACTGAAGACAGTTGCAGTAGAGGCCTGGCAGAGCATCACCAGGGAGGAACCCCAGCGTCTGGTGATGTCTATGCGTTCCAGACTTCACGCTGTAATTGACTGCAAAGGATTTGCAACCAAGTATTAAAAAGTGAAAGTTTGATTTATGATTATTATTCTGTCCCATTACTTTTGGTTCCTTAACAAGTGGGAGGCACATATGCAAACTGCTGTAATTCCTACACCGTTCACCTGATTTGGATGTAAATACCCTCAAATTAAAGCTGACAGTCTCTGCAGGTAAAGCACATCTTGTTTGTTTCATTTCAAATCCATTGTGGTGGTGTATAGAGCCAAAAATGTTAGAATTGTGTCCATGTCCCAATAATTATGGACCTGACTGTATTTGTAAAAATTGTAAAAAGAAAAAAACTTTTTTTTCAAAATCTTTGGATTTTTTCATTTATATAGCAAAAAAAAAATTCAGTGGTGAATAAATACCACCAAAATAAAGTTATCGGTCTCAAAAAAATGCTAAAAAAATCATATGAGTACAGTGTTGCATGACTGCGCAATTGTCATTCAAAGTGTGATAGCACTGAAAGCTGAAAATTGGCCTGGACAGGAAGGGGGTGAAAGTGTCCAGACTTGAAGTGGTTAATAACCCCGTCTACCAAGGTACAGTTGTTAAGTCCTTGGTGATCAAGGGGTTAAAACAACCGCATGGCTGCTTGGTACGCATTTTTTTAATGTACTGTCAGTCACATAAAATGGATTCACTTTTAAGCTTTATTCAGACGAGCAATGACACCCGCTCTTTGCACAGACCACTTTTGTCATTGCGCTTGCATTCACCACGCGTTGCGCGCAAGCACCATGTCTAGAATAATGACCAACTTAATTTTTATATCAATACAATGCTGGAAATGCTGGTGGTAGCGTATTGGCGACAAAAAAGGTTTGCATTCAATGAAATCGCACATTTGCAATATTTTACTAGTATCAGGAGTGAAATTATTTCCTGTGAAATCAAAGGCCTAAGCTTCAAGCAATTTTAATTGCTTGCTGCTAAATGATTTAGGCTCCGTTCACAACCAAGCATTTTGTATCATGGGCAGAATCGCTGCAGTTCTTCCCGTGATCCCAAAACTCTCTGCAAAACTGACAAATCGCACACAACGCTTGTTCAGGTGCCATTCATTTTAAATGGCACCTAAACGAGAGTACTATTCTGCAGCGATAAATCGCACTGAAATTGCGCAAAATACCTTGCGCAAAGCTTGTCACTCAAAAAGGAGCGGGAGCTTTTTTGGGGGCAACAAGATTTTCACAAGGCTTGTGCAATTGTGATGTGGTTTGCCGCTATTGCAGCCCAGCAATAGTGGCAGAAGCGCACCTGTGTTTAGGTGCCATTGAAAATAAATGCCATCTGAAAACGTGTGGTGCGATTTTCAGTTTTGCAGAGCATTTTGGCATCATGGCAAGAGTCGCCGCTGCTAGGTGGACATGCTAGCCACTGTGCTACCCTGTTCTCAGTGGATCACTTTTACTGTACTGATGTCACCTCGTACTTCTCTCAGCACCAGAAGGCAGGCTCTACGAGATGTGTGACACAACATTGTATACTCATAGGGAATAAGTGTCATAGAATTTAAGTAAGGCCCCTTTCACATGGCAGGTCCAATCAAGTCCGCTTATCAGTTTTTCAGGCAGACCTGAACAGATGGTCTATTCACCCCTATGGACAGGCGGGTATAAAACAGACTTGTGTCTATTCCCTACCTCCGGGTCCAATCTGGCAGGAAGGAAGAAAAGAAAAGAAGAAAAGGAAAGGAAAAAGGAAGGAAAGGAAAGGAGGAAGGGCTCTGTCCTGTTTAGGCGGATTGGATCAGAGGGTAGTTGGATATCAATGGACAGCTGTGCCAAATTCAAATAATAGATTTCAAAATGGAGAAGAACCCCACAATCCAGGTAAGGCCCCATGCACACTGTGCATTTTAGTCCCCCCCCAGCATGATGCTTCACCATTTAGGTGCAGGTGAAAGGACACAGGTTCACTGTCCAGCCCCGATGCTGGTAGCCTTTAAAGAATATGTAAACTTAACATTTCATATTCCTGATATGTGCCTGCTGTACCATGTACTTGTATGTGTGAAATCCCTGGTGTTCTGCTAGTCTCTCTGCTTTCCTATTAAAAACTGACCACACTAGGCATGAGAGCACAGCCTGGTCAGTTCTCTAGCTGTGCTGGGAACTCAGGGGACAATTCACTAAAGGTTACGTCATGACCACATATCGCATGCGATACTGAAAATGTCAATTTACTATTGCTAGTATGCGGTATTTACCACAAATAGCAAAAACACTCAGTAAATACCACATGAAGAGACGTTAAAGTCAATTCACAGAAGGAAATAAATCATTCAGCCCTGGTTCACACTGGATGCGACTTGGCATGCAATTTTCATTATCTGCAACTTTCAAACTGCATGCCAAGTCGCACCCTACTGTCCGCAATTGGAGTGGTCTTATTGGTGCGGTTCCGACTTGGTCGGAGCTGCACCAATTTCAAAAGTAGTACATGCACTACTTTTGGTGCGATTTGTATAGACATCTGTATCAGATGTCTTGCAACTCACACCTGAACTCAGCGGGTCCCCAGACTCTGAAATCGTGCGACTTACGATTTCAAAGTCGGGCTTGATGTGAAAGGAGGGTCAATGCATGAAGCAATGAAGTAGTGGTCAAGGCATGCTGTATGTACTGGTTGTTAAAGGGATAGTTCACCTTTACCAAAAAGCTGCCTATGGAGATAAGAGGTGTCTGTAGATAAAAACAAACGGTGTAGCTCTGACTAAAGTTGGATAACGCTCTTGCTATAGGTGTAGGCCATTTACATACCTCCTGAAGCCTGACTGGAAAACTCCCAGGGCGTTGCTAGGTGAGGCCTAGTCACAAATGTTCACCTCCACCAGCACAGGAGTGAGCCCTGAGCTCAGAGCTACTGCATCAGGGGAGAGAAAGCATGTGAGGGGCTTCAATTCAGAGAAAGAGCTCGCTCCTGTGATGGAGGTGAGCAGTAATAACTAGGCCTCATTTAGCAACATCTTGGGAGTATTCCAGTCAGGTTTCATGAGGTACATACAGTACAGAAAATATTTATTTGATCCCCTGCAGATTTTGTAAGTTTGCCCACAAGACCATCAGCTAGAAGCTTGGTGAGAAGGAGACAACTGTTGGAGTGATTATTCACAAATGGAAGAAATGCAAAATAATCAACATTCGCCCTCGGTCTAGAGGTCCATGGAAGATTTTGCATCATGGGGTAAGGATGATCATGAGAAAAGTGAGGGATCAGCCGAGAACTACATGGAAGAAGCTTGTGAATGATCAAGGCTGTTGGGACCACAGACACCAAACAAACC